TCTGTAGTATTAAAAAAACAGGTAGAGCAGCATGTGTCATGTACTTGATTGTTTTAGATTTAACCAGGATATTTTTCGGAGTATAAGTTTTTGAATGAATATTTGTCAAAACACAAGAATTAAATTTAAAATTTCTTGTAAGTTTGATGTTCATATTTCTATAGTATAAAAATTATTTTATCAAATTATATCATAAATGATTACTCCAATTGTGACTAATTCTCATCGTAGTTTATCTCATAATATATTTAATGTTTAAATCTCCTTTTAAGAACAATATAAGATTCAATGTTAGACACAGGATTAATGAACCTTTAGAAGCCTGGTTGACCACCTACCTAAATGAAAGATCAAAGAAAAATATTTGTTTTCATTCACCTCATTGAGAAATAACAGTCCAACAAAAATTCAGCTTTTATGATTTATAATAGTTAACCAAAATTTAAATATATTTATTTTCCTTTTCAGTTGCATGTTAACAACAAGTGCAGTGGTAATTCAATTCAAAATGAACTTTTTGAATCTTCAGAACAATAGGATCATGGGACCTACGAACATTTTAGAGGCTAGATTTATAAACATAGTTTCATTGCAGAGATGTATGACAGAGGTAGAGATAAAAGACTTCCTAATATAAAAAATATTAAATTAGGAGGAAATATTTGGAGGAAAGGGCATGGAAAAGTATTTTCAACATAAAAGCAATGTAAAATATCTGAACAGTAAAGAGGTTTTTCATTTGTTTTTATTATGGTGAACATTGTATGGTTATATTCCTTTGGATTCATGTAACTGTTTTATTTGAAAATGGCAGCGTTCACAGTTTGTCAGAAATGTGCAACTATTTACCTTTAGGCTATGAACAAAATTTTAGTTGCCAGCTTAAAGCTTGCAAGGAGAATATGATCTTTTAAACAAGTCATGGGCAGTCTTGAACAAATATTTTAGAGGTCACCAGTCCAGGCGCCATACTCCTGGCTGGGTAGTGCTGTGAGCTTTCAATTGTAGCACATTGATATTGCAGGGCTGGTGACACTGTGTGGCTGCAGCTGAAATAGAAACTCAACAGCGTAACACTTCCTGGAAACAAAATAAGTTTCTGGCTTTTCCACTTAAGGCAAGACTGAAGACTTCTCTCCACACTCACATTGGGGAAACACCATGGAGTCCTTGAGGGAGGATCCTGAGAGTCAGAATGGTGTCATCAATTGAGAGGATGGGAATGGAGCCATTTCATTTGATTGTGAAGAAATATGTGGCCTTCTTTTATACCTATGAAAGTCAGATTTTTCAACAGTTCTTCTAAAAGTGCTTTCAAATCTCTTTATTATCTTGGCTCAGTGCCTTCTTGCATCCACCACAAAGATTCTATACACTTTTTTTCCCTCTTAAATTCTCCAGTCATCTCACAAGTTTATCACTTTAATGTGACTCCTACTTTATTAAAAAAAAGAAAGAATTATTTGGAACTTCGTTAAATTATTATCATTTTCTAAAATACAGACTTACAATTTGTAATAGCTAAATCGTGGAAACAGCCCAAATGCCCATCAACCAATGAATGGATAAAGGTGATGTGTTTTTTTCCTAATACAATGGAGTACTATCCTGCCATAAAGGAGAAACTTGAAACATTCTAGGTAAATGGATGCAACTTGAGACCATAATTTTAAGTGAAAAAATTGGACACACATGTTTAAGTATCACATTGTTTCTCTGGTGTGAGCAACTGAAAGGATAAATAAGAACTAAAATGTATAATAAATATTGTGAAATAGGAAAAAAATATTCAAATGAGAAAGGGAACAAGGGAGGGGGGAGGGGGAAAGGAAGGAAGGAAACAGAAAACATCGGAGAATAAAAAGAAAAAAATGGAAACAAAGCCATTATAAATTACAAGGGGGAAGAGGGGTTGAAGGGAGGGGAAGAGATTGGGGAAAAAAGAATCAAGATATATTAGGTACATGGACAAATTCCCTACGGAGTATGTTATCATTATGTATATCTAAAATGTACCTATAAAATTAATTTTAAAAACTATAGACTTAGTGTTTCATCACTCTTCCTTTCTCTGTTCTATTATTCCTACCTTCCACTTTTTCAAGAAACATACTTAAATAGTTACCAACTTTTCAAAACATATGCCTTCCTCTCTAGTGGAGCCATTCCCTTGACCAAATCAAATGATTCTCTGATCCCCAAACCAACCAACCAATTGATCAATCAATCAACCAACTAACTAACCAGCCAGTATTTGATAGCCACTCCCTCCCAAGGCATACTTCTGCTGTCATTCAAATTTTGGGAAAGTCTATGCTCAATAACTTTAGTCTTCATTCCCATAATTTGGCTTTTCCTCAAACTTTTTTCCCTCACAGTACTAAGGATTGAACCCAGGGCCTTAGCACTATGCTAAATTCCCAGCCCTATTTATTTATTAATTATTATTTATTTATTTATTATTTATTATTTTTTATTTTGAGACATGGTTTTGGTAAGTATCTAAGTTGCTCAGGCTGTGCTCAAGCTTAGGATCCTCCTATCTCAGTCTTTCAGAGTTCTAGGAATACAGTCCTCCTCCACTATGCCCAGGTGCTTGGTGGGATTTGAGTTTCTATGTATTGTGTCAAAAAGAGTGATTCATTTTCTGTAGTTCTCATGTGACTGAAGTGCCTCTGCTACGTCATGCTGATGTGATAAGCACGGCAGATTATTGAAGGGTACTCTCTGTGGTTACTTCTCCAGACTTTTCAGCACTCTATAGCCTGCAAGGTTTGGGAGTGACCTGTGCCTGCCTGGGAATGCCAAAACAGCTGTTCATTTTCTCTGCTGCTGCTAAGGATGTGAGTCTCTAGTAGTGCATTTTCAGTTACCTCATCCATGCTTATTTGGGGCTCAATCATCAGCTGAGGGCCTTTGTCACCTGTAGTGTTAAGGTGAGTAATATGCAAAAGTTTCAGTAGGACTAAGTCATGCATGTATTAAGGTACAATTTCTCTTAGTTGAATTAGGATTATAGCTCAGCGGTAAAGCACCAGTCCAAAGCGTTCAAAGGCTGGGTTCAATCCCCAGTACTGTTTTTAGAGGAGGAATGAACTAACAGTAACAAGAACTTAAAAGCAAATAAAAATGCCATAAAAACCTATTAATAATCACCATATCTATAGCAAAAATATCCATATAGGAGAAGTAACCTAGGATAGACTAAAATGTTAACATTGACATAAGAAGTTAATATTAATACAATTTTTATGAGAGATAAAAACAGAAATTAAAATGAGAAAGGAGAGAAAAGAGAAAAATCTGAAAAATCTGATCAAATTAAATAGATTATATATTATTTATATTAAATACAAGAAAAGAATAGATCAAAATATGTAAAGAAAATAATGATGAGGGACAACAAACCCTAAAGATGGCCCTTGGAACATGCCACGTGTTGTAGGGGTTAGTGGTTCTAGGTTATTTGTGTTCTGTGTGTTCCTTCTCAGCTCCTGACAGACAGGCAAAAGCAGTTAGGGGTGTACGCAGGCTGAGACACAACTCTCCTTCTCAGAAGTGATCCTTGGCCACCAGTCTGGACTAAGAGAAAGATGTCTGCAGCAGAGCTGTATTCATTTCACAGGCCTCTGTATTCAACACTGGGGACAGAGATCACAGTCTTGGAATGAGCCCAGGAGCCTCTCTGTCCTTCCAAGCATATGGACTCATCAGGTTATGACCTCTTGGTCCCAGGACCAAGAGCTCTGGAGCTTGTCAGGTGTCCACGTCCAGGACAGAATTATCTGAATGTCTCTGCTTGTGAAGTCACCTGTCAAGGGGATCTGCCATGAGTGAGGAGTCAGGGGAACCAAATTCTGCCTGTCTCAGGCAATGTGCTCCCAAATGCAGCCCCACAGGAACCCACACACTGCTTATCTCCCTCTGTGTCACAGAGGTTGAGCCAACAGTTTTACATGGAAGCACCTTCCTCTTTTCCCACCTCTCAGATTTCACTTTCCCCTGCCTACAGCTCTTGGAGGGTTTGTGTTGGTCACTACCTTGGGTGACACATTATTGTTTCCCATGTGCATGGCCTCTAGGTCAGTGAAGAGAAGAGCTGTTGGGATTTGGGAAGACAAAAAATGCAGACACTTCTGATCACCCATGGCAGTAAGTTCAGACAATGGGACCCTTCTTAAGATGGCTCCCTTTTACAGCCTCAGAAGAACAAGCTGCGAAGTGTCCACAAACCGTTTACCAGCGCCAGTTCCCTATGCAAATCCCAGGGTCCTGTTTCTTCACACTGCTTGTCTGCTTTGTGCTGGACTCTGTACCGTGGAGATTACAGAGACCCTGCCACTCATAGCCACACCACGGGGTACTTCCTCTCCTCCACCAAGCAACAGAGCACTCTGTGTCAGGATACTCCGTATCTTTTATTTTTGCAAACACCAGTATTCTGGGTTCAGCGAGGCACTGACTCTCTCCGTGTGCACTCCAGCAATTTCCTAGTAATCTCAGCCTGGAGATGGGGCCACACACCTTGATTTGATTCAGTCTTCTGGAGCAGCAGGGAGGTTCTGAGTGTCTCTAATCCACCATCTCACTCCTCCCTGATGAATATATTCCTAACTTATCTTTCTCATATGTGATTGGCCACTTACATTTTGTTGAATAGGAAAAAGTTAGATGAACAATTTATTTGACTAGGTCATTATTTTGTTGATAACATAATTTATCAATATTTAATAATGTAACAGGGCTAGTTACCACTATATTTAATCAGTTTGAAGAGAAATATGATTTGTTCTTACTAATTCAAAACAAGGAAAAACCAAAATCATGTCAAATTTAGAATATTGAGTATTGAAATACTCTTTTATTTTAACATAGAACATTTAGTCCTCATGAATGTTTTCATAGAAAATACAGTGGATTTAAAAATGTCTGTAGAAAAAGAAACAGAAAGTCTTATTGAATTCTATAAGCCTGGAAAAAAACTAAGCCAAGAGAGCCTATTATTTGTAGTCATCAATTTATTGGAACAACTCTGTGAACTTTTTTCCCAAAGCGTGACAGAGTAATGATGTTTAAGGGGAAGAGACTCTGCCAAAGAAGAGGATGGTATTGTTTTCATTTTGTTTGATGAAAAATAGGAAAGGGTGATCACAATGGAAGTTTTGATATACTCGTGATGAAGTTTTAACCACTGTAACGCCAGCAGCACCTGCAGCTTCTGTCCCTTCTTCATTAACCTCCACAAAGGACTTGTGCCGGACCTTAGATACCACTAAACCCTTGACTCCGGTCATGCCTGAAAGGTCAGCATGTTGTGGACTGAAGGCTTTTACCATTCCCATGTCTTCCAATACGGTTTTAAGGTCGTAGCTCTCTTTCACTTTGAACCTAGGTAGTTGTAAATTCACCCTTGTTGTATTCATATTTTGTAGGCTCGTCCACTTTATTAATTTCTCACCAGTAAGTCCATCTTCAAGCTAAAAAAACAATGAAAAACATGAAACCAACATGACTAACTGCAGTCCTCTCCTGCACTTTGAGAATGAATTGAATATGTGGAAATCTTTATTCTAGCAATAAATTTAATACACCGATGATTCAGTTTATGACATACTATTCTAGTGAGCAGAAATAGCAGTCCAGAGTATGTTTATTTGATGATATAAGTACTTATGTATATATGTACATTCAAAGCTAAGTCATTATATTACCTTATTTTGTACAAAGTAAACTATTTATCATTGCTCTTTATGTTACCAACCTATTTTATGTGTCATTTTAGATACTCTCAGTTTTCTGATACTCAATATTTATTGCATATTGTAGTTGTAGTGTATGCTCTATATTTTAGGGAGTCCTGGGGATCGAACTTGGGAGCTTGCACTTTCCAGGAAGGTGGTGGAACCCCTGAGCTACATCCCGGCCCTATGCTCTATTTTAAATCTTTTGTTCGCCATATTTGTAAACATTTCTCACATTACTATTTCTCTCCACCAAGTATATGTTATTGCCTTTCAATACTGTCAAATTGAAATTTAATGTATATGACACTATTCAATTCTTGATTAACTGACGGTTAGTACATGTCAGACTCTATGTTACAATATTTGTAATGAAAAGATAAATCATCATTCCTTGTGTTGAAATTCTCACTATGTTGAGGCACCTTTCTCTAAAAGCTTTTCCCTTCCTGGTGACTTAGGAAAACAAAATGACAATAGAATGCCAAAATGTAGGTGCAAGTTTTACCTGCTGCAGGCCATCTACTTCATTTGGCAGCAACACCACCATGCTCAGAGCTTTGCCTTTGTAAGGTATTTCCACCATCTTGGCCTGCACATCTTCCAAGGAGGCAAATTTGAGATGGTTGCTTTGTTCCATCATCTGCACAGATTTGCTGGTATCCTACAATAAATGAAAGCATCAAGCAAACACCAAATTAGCCACAATGCAAGTTTCTTCAGGCACTGCTAACTAAATAAATTTTCAAGAATAAATAATGAAACAAGACTCATGACACATTTTATTTTTTATCTATACTGGTATACTGATCACATAGGTTTAAATGTAACTTACTATACAAAGCTACTTTGTATTAAGGAAATAAAATATAGTCAATACCTTGTTCAGCCAAAATTTTCCTTCTACAGTATTTTCTTCATTAAATTTCAGATCCCAGTTCCCTTTGAAATAAACTGCATTCACTAGAACCAATTTGACGTCACTCTGAAGAGCCCCATCAGGAAATAAATCCTTGATCTTTTCTGTAAAAGAAAAAGAAAAAAATCTGTCAAGGAAGGTACAATTTGCTTGTCTGAAAGATAAGATGATCATTAATTATTCACAGCAGTGACTGCTTTAGAGATTTGTAGATCTGTTCACCAAGTGCATTCCTCTGCATTGTGGCAGCTTAAGAATTAACTCTGATAGAGATGCCAATACTTAAGCTGGGAAAGTGTTTTAGGCTCTGTGTCAATAAGTGATTACAGTCATTTCGCACTGAGTGCTGATAAACAGATTTCATCTACTCTGTCCATTTATCTTTGTCATTCCTCCCTCTCCATCGTCCTTTTTAGCATTCCAATTTGGGGGGCACTACTCAGAGGAAATAGAGCTTGATCATTCTTTAGGACTAGTAGCATGAGCTTTATCTTATGAAACCCATAGGTTGGGCTAACATACATTCCTTGGGGTATCTTCTTATTCATTCTCATGTGGAACTGCCTGCCATAAGCTTGGCCTGTGTAAGAGGTAATTGATAAGTAGGTGACCATGTATGGAGCATTATTAAGTTCTCTGCCATGGATGGAGAAGTTATTTGTGATAATAATTGTAGGAGGTATGAGTGAAGGTGTAGTCCACTCAGTTCCAGCTTACCTGGAATGATATGTAGGTTACTGGAGGGCTGTTTGTTTCCCCACTAGTGAAAGGAATCCTATCTAATGATCTTAAAGGTCCTGCTATGGTTGGAATACTGTTATGTTTCCCCAAGAGGCTTATAGCATACAAGGCTTATATCCAGATGGGCTTTGGGAAATGCCTGGATACGGAAGACTCTTTATTCCTCAGTAGGTTAATCCATGGATGAGATCATAATTTAACTGTAATTTAATGGAATTCTTAAGAGGTGATGTATGCAAATTGTGGGGACTAGTTGAAAGGAGTGAGTCATAGAAATGTGATCTATACTGGTTCCTAACCCTTACCTTCTGGCTTTCTCACCCTCTCTGCATCCTAAGTGCCGTGAGGTGAGCGCTTTTTGCCTGCTGCAACATTCTGCCATGATATTTCTGCCTCACTTTAGATCTAAAACAACAGCACTGGCTAAGTCTGGACTGAAACTTCTGGAACTGTGACCCAAAATAAATTAACCTCCCCTTCTAAGTTGTTTATGTCAGGTATTTTGTCACAGTGATGGAAGTTGACTAATACAGATCTCTAACATAAAGCTGGCTGTAATTTACATTAAAGGATGGGATGGCAAAATGGGCTTAGTAGAGATTGGAATCTACAAGGAAATTGTCACCCAAACATTCTTCAGCTGTGTTTGCATAGAACTGGCTTTCTGTGATTCCTTTCCTGGCTCTCATTTGCACTCTCATTCATGTGGGCCATCCCACCATCTGGAGTGCTCCTCCATCCTCTCTGCAAACCTGTCCTAATATCCCACTTCAGCACCACACCTGTGTCAGCAACACACGTGTGTCAGACACAGGACTCACTCCCAGTTACTTAAATGGTTCTATGAGTGGCCCTTCCATTATCTACCATGTGTTTGTTTCTCCACCCAGGTATTAATTTTCTTCCGACTTTCTTCTGCAGCATTTGCAAAATCAACAGATTCCATGTCAGCCAGGTAAAATTTCTTAATGTCATCCACATAGTCCTTTGAGAAATAAGAGAAGAAAGGAACAATTAAGAGTGACTTGTGCGTTATCAAATTGAATTACTAATGATTGCAGTCAGCTAAGTCCAGACCCTGACCAAATCCATTATTTCTTGCATGTTTTTGTGTGGATGCCATATAGGCAGTGTGAAAAGGGAGCCCAGGTCATTGAAAGTAAAATCCTTCTGCCAAAATCCCTCAGGGGAGGAGGCTATGGCCTGCAAATGTTAAAGCTTGTTACTCTGAAGGAGATGAATTGCTGCTGAGAATTCTCATCAGAGGATTCTATTTGGTTTATATCTTCCATCCTGGGAATTAAATATTCTTTGGTACTTCCCACTTTTTTCCCTCAGGGATTCTTCCAAGGCTGGCCATCCCAGAATTATCCCATTACCCAGAATTTTCCACTTAAAACATGTTCTCTCTGATTATGTCAGTGCTGGTTCATCATGACATCTTGAGACTAACTCTGGTACTCCACATCCTCCTTTCTCATAAAATAATCCCTAAACTCTCACATTGCCAGAGCTTGGAACAGTCTAGTAAGATATTGTTGGAACTGATACTTTTTGGGGAAATGTTGTCCATATCAGTCAGCCAGGATCATGTAATTGGTAGACGATCTAGATGAAAATTGTGGAGGGCCAGGCAAAATTTACCTGAAGAAATTGGCAATTATTTTCTTTGTAGATCTTGTTGGCACTCTTCAGTTCATATGCATCAGTGGGTTTATTCCACTCAGTCAGAAGCTTTTGAAATTGGAGATGCACACTTCCTGAATTTTCACCCTTCAACATGAAAAAGTGCTCATTGCATTAGTATTTAGCGCATTACATGCTAAACCCCTGCGAAGTCTGTTATTCAATACTTATTTGTTGAAAGATAACTACTTTCTCATTCCACAATATTTGTGATATTTTGTCTCATGTAACCTTAATAAATCCACCTTAATTTCTTTTTCTTTCAGGACATTCTTTCTGCCTGCTGTAAAATACTCATATCTGTTTTCTGTTGAACTAAACTTTCAGCCTGTTGGATTGTCAATGATTTCAATAGTTAGATTTTATCTTCCTGGCTAAACTCTATGTTCTCTTGAAAAATAGCATAATTCATTTCCTACAGCCTTCAAAGATTCAGTTATGCTGAAATCTAGATACTTTACATTAAAATATGAAGCCTTCTTGTGGTATCCTCGGTGGTATACTTTTCTGTCTTCTAAGACACTTTGATCTGTGGCCCTTTCTGTCTTTGCATGTAAGAGTGATGGATGCCTCCAGCTAAGGTCTTGGGACAGGTGATCTAAGTCTTATCAAAAGGAAATAAGAAAGCTGAGAGAATTAAATGTCCTCTCCAAAGAGACTAGATTAGAAGAGCCAAGTTTTAAACCTGAGCCTATTTGACTTTGGATATTATTTGCTAGCTAAGAGATTTGTTAATTAAGATTGAATTATTTTAGTAGTATTATTATGCTTATGATAATTGTCATTTAATATTAACTGAAGTTTATTATGAGTTCCTATTTATGACACTGAAGCAGTGTTTGTAAATGTTTGCATGAGTTGATTCAGATTCTATTTTAATTCATTTTACTGGGATGAGGTGACTGTGACTCAGAGCATTAGTGTGCTTGTAATGTTCATCATTTGTGAGGAGCAGATCTGGAATTTGAACCCAGCCTGTTTGGCTTCAGACTTACTTTCATTAATACTATGTCAGTCTTCTCTGATTGAAACAAAAACGTGAGAATGTTAATTGTATAAATGAAATGAATACACTCTCTGTGTTCTTATGTCATGTTTAGGGTTTTCCAAAGTTACCTTTTTGCAGTTCATGTTAAATTCCCACTCAGATATCTGAAGCAGTCCTACAATGAAAGAGCTCAGGTACTCACCTGATTGGTTTGAGTTTTTTCTGTTGACTTCTCTGTGATTTCATTGAAGTGAAGGACCTGGAAGAGACAGGAAATGGGACCAAAAAATCTTCCTCAAGAGATCTGTGTAACTCAGAGGAAAGAAAACCAGAAAAGTGAATAGTTTTGGAGCATGCCTGTAATCTTAGCACTCTGGGAGACTGAGGCAGAAGGATCACAAGTAGAAGCCCACCCTGCACTGTTTCCAATTTTTTTAGTATATGTGCTGCCGAAGCGAGCATCACCCTGCACTCTTTAGCATGTTACAGATAAGCAGACTGAAAAAAAAATTAAAAGGGCAAGAAATGCAAGAAATGAAAGTCAATGCAATGGACTGCTCCAACCCCCCTCAACAGGTGCAGTGAGGTTTAGAACAAAACCGTAAAAACAAATGAAAAAAACAAATAAAAAAATTTAAAGAAACAGAAAATATCCCCAAACTTCAGGGTACGAGTGTGGTCTTCGCAAAACCTCATCAAAGCCAGTTACCAGATACTTCAAGGAATGTTCATCCATGTACTCATTCATGGTTGAGGAGCCCTCTGGTGATGTATCCCTTGGATTTACATCCAAGCATCCCTTATGTCAGTAGTCCTCAAGTGTTAAGCTCCTTTCTCATTGCTGAGCAGTTGTAGATCAACTCACTTTCCAAATAATAGCAGGACACAAGGAAGAAAATGGCA